AGTGGAGGCCGGTGGAGCTGGGAAGATGGGGTGATGCCAGGGAAGTTCCAGCTGCTGTGAGTGGCAGAGCTTTTCCCTTTGAACCTTTTCAGAGCTTTGTGTTGCCCAGCCAGCTCAATGAAGTGTTGCTGCTGTTGGGATGTTCACCTCCTGCATTTTAATTGTATGGTGAATAGAGAAGAGGCTGCAGAGGAGAAACACGGTCCTGGAAAGCTCCCTGCCATCACATCCCTGCATGCTTGGCTCTTATAGATTCCTTGCTCAAAAAAACTGAAAGAAATGCTCAAATTTGATGTGGTTTCTTGCCCTTCTGTAATCTTGCTTGACAGTTTTTCCTTGGGATTTTTAATGCACAGTTTCGGAACAAGCGGGAACACGTGTGGGGATTACATAACCCTGGGGAAGCTGGTGGGAGACTGACTCCATTTCTGGGCAGAGATGAAAATCAGGAGTTCTGGACTGGTTTTGTGTAAGGTGTTTGCATAGGTGCCTGTGGGTACTGCAGGTGTTTTTATTCCTGGGAAGAGGTGGTTCCTCAGAGCTGTGAGCTGGAAGGGGAGGAGAGGTCAGCGGTGCTCAGGGTAAAATGGTTCCTAGTTGCTGAAATGAGCTTAGGTGAAAAGCCCCATTCGAGGGAAAATGAATCCATTTCGGGAGAAAATAGAATAATGTTCTCTCTGTCTTCCTGCAATCTTGGTGGAGCAGAGAAAGCTGTAGAAATTCCTGCTGGAAGGGCTGGTTTTGGTGTGTGTTCCCAGGTCTGTAACAGCAGACAGAAATCTCGCAGAATCGCAGTTCTGTAATATGATTGGAACAAGCAGATAAATGTGATAGAAGGAGGAGATCTCTGCAAGGAATTCCTGCTGACTGTCATTTCACTCAGCATTTGGCAGTGTCACTGATTGCTCCAGCAGCTCCAGGCTGGATTTTTTTTCCTTAATCGCTTTACAGAGCAGTCACATATTCCCCTCTCCTCAGAGTGTGGCCATGGCTGTCTAATTAACAGAGCTCTTCCTCTTTTTAGGGAGATTTTTGGCTTCCAGAAAAATTCTGTGTGGTTTCCAGCCGGCGTTCCTTCTCCCACTGGGTCTATAATAGCTCCCAAAATTCCCCAGCTTGTAATCACTGCTGCAGCCAGATGGGGACTAGGTGGAACACCCATTGCATCTGTGCCTGCATTTATGAATCTGCCAGAAGTATCTCACTTAGGTGAGATTTTAGATATATATTTCATGAGTTAATGAGCCCTGAACAGCGATGAGGAAAATCCAGTGCTGGTACTGCCTGTGCTGCCATCCTTCTCCCAGATCCTGGCATGATACTGATGGAGCAGGGAGAGCTCTGAGGAGTCATTCAGCCTGACATGAGCAAAACAGAGGCTGCAGTTCCACCTTACCAGCTGATGGTACTTCAAGAGGTTCTTCTTGGATTTAACAGGGTCTCCTTGCTCCTGCTCTTCTGCTTCATTGCTCTCCTCGTCTTTTCTCCCTGTGGAAGGAGCTGTGAAAACTGTGTGAGGTTTGGATTCTCTTTGCTTTTCCTCTGCTCCCTCTCCCTTCCCACCCTCCTGAATGATTTCAGAGTATAGTTGCCCAAATTAGTAATGTGGGTGACAGGATATGGGGGAGGAAGAGGGAGGGCACAGGGTGCTCCTGAATTGGATCTCAGCACAGCAGGGTAGTAACACAAAAGAGCTGCCTGAATTACTCAGGGCATCCTGGTGTTCCTGGCTGTGGTGAATCCAGTGCTGCAGCGAGGCTGGGCTGGCTGGACTCTCATCCTGCACTTGCCTGGCTGTGCTGGGGCAGCCTGAGGGCAGCAATCCCAAGCTTGTGCTGCATTTTGGAATGTGCAGCCTCAGTGGCACTAAAATCTGTGTGCGAGAGCAGATGAGTGAGTGCCCTGGGGTGGTGTGGGTGTGGATGTGCAGAAGGATAGAATGATGCTGCTGGATGAGGTTCTGCTTCTCACCTGCCTGCCCTGACCCGTTCACCTCCCTTGGTGGAGTATCCATGCTGTCACTTAACCCTTTCCTAAAAGAGCCTCATCAGCACAAGTTGTGATGAGCTTTGCTGGCACCCTGGCTCGCTTCTCCCCCAGTAACAGCAGCTGTTATCCCAGAACAGGCTCCTTTGGCAGGTGGAGGGAGAGGGAAGGTGGTGATTTCCACTGGGGAGCAGGAACAAGCTCCAAGAGGCTTGGTGGGAGCCAAGAGCCTTTCCACTTGCCCAGCTCCTTTCAGAGAAGCTGGAATCTCTCCACTAGTCCAGCTCCTCTCAGGGAAGCAGGAACCTTTCCACTTGTCCAGCGTCTTTCAGTCAGCCTGTGGATGCCACAAGTTGGATGCTGGAAATAATCACTTTCTCCAACCATTATTTCATTAAGATATACTGGAATTTAGGTCATTTTGTTCCTATCAGTCTTATGTCCAGGTCAAATCCTTTTGCAAAAAGGACTTAAAAGGTTTCTTCTGGATCTGATGAGACTCATCCCTTCCTAGGAGAGATCTTAAACAGTAACTCCAAACTCTGCAAATCCATCTAAACTGTTCCTTCCTTCAGGCAGCTCTTCCTGGGTGCAAAAAGAGAGATTGCTCTGCTCAAAGGAGATTATTTCCTCCTGACTTATATAAGTTCTAAAATAAGAAAATAAATCCCAACCTTGACAGGGCTGAAACCATTTTTCCAAACTTAGGAGTGATCCCTTTTGAAGCAGCAATTGCTTCAATGGATTGTCAGGAGTGCCTGGAGAAGGGAAATCTCAGCTGTGACACAAGGGGGGCAGTTCCATACCACACCTTGTGCTGTCATCCCTGCTATAGGGATGTTCTAGGGGAGAGGGAATGATGCTACAGCAGGAAATTTGAGTTTTCATTCCATCTTCCAGCGTGTTTTTAATCCTTTTGTCCCAGATTTTGGCTTTTTTTTTTGTTTTCCAAAACTTGGGGGTGAATGCAAGATCCTTGGGATGAAGGCTGGGAGTGACTGTTCAAGTTTGTGACAAATCTTACAGTTGTTTGGCTGACTCAGGGTTTTAAATCCCATTTGGTTGTTAAAAACCTCTCTGTTTATCAAATGACACCACTTGAGCCTGAGCTGGCAGATGAGCTAAGTGCAGATGAGCTTTAGACCCTGCAAACGAATTCTTGCCATCGTTAAAAAAAGGCAAAATGAGATGTAGGGTGAATGAGCACCAGCCTGGGCACCAGCAGGGCTGGATCCTGTTCCTGGCTCTGCTGCCCTGGAGGTACACGAATTTCAGTCAATCCAGCTGTTCTCATTTCACATTAAAAAAACAGTGAAATGCGATTATGGCATTTAGGAAAATATTTCAGCAGGTACCTTTTCTGTGACAGTGGGCTTTGGGTATTGTTTAGATCTAGGTGAGGCCACAAGGTGTTACCCAAGTCAGGCTTTTTTATTCTTTTGGATTCCTACATCCCCCCCGTTTTATTCCACAAATAAACCAGATTCTGTTGTGGGGGCTTTTTGTGCATAGTTTTTTTCCCCCTTTCTTTTTTCCCCCTTAGATTTTCACAATGCCTTTACAATTAAGAAAACTCATTCAATTTGCCTTTAAATCACCCTGCAGCAGCTCCTCAAAACCTCCCATCGCTCGGCCAGCCCTTTCTGTTGGTGGGCGGATGAGGAAAGGAGTCACTGGGTGAAGAGAGGCAAACAAGGAAACAATTCCAGCAGGATTCCTGCGTGGTTGGCAGAACAGGAGCTGCCATTGTCCGGCAGTGCCCTGCTGATCCACAGGGTTTGACCACTGAATACTGAGGGCTTGTGGCTCCGGGGCTTTTTCCTTTTCAAACAGAAGCAGAGGTGGGGGACAGGCCCAAGGTTTTGTGGATTATTCAGCAACAAGTTTGCGTTGGTTCCCTCGTTCCTAGGGTGGGAACAGCTGTCTCTGGAACCTGGGAGATCCCAAGGGATCGGAGCTGCCCAGCTGGGGTTCCAGGGTGGGGTGTCCCTGGTGGGGTCCCCAAGCCTTCCACGCTGCTTTCCTTGACTGGCTGTGTTGCAGAATCCCCCGAGGTCCTGTCCAGCAGCCCCTGGAGGATCGGATCTTCACTCCGACCGTCTCGGCTGTGTACAGCACTGTGAGTATCCGCGGGGCCGGGGCAGCGCGGGGATCGGGGCTGGGCAAAACCCCAGAGCAGCCAGAAACGAGCGTTGGAGAAAATGCAACTTCCTTTTGTCCCTGAAAAAATGGTGCTCAAAATGACCCTTTTGGTGGCATGTGAGTAGGAAAAGAAGAGAGGACCCTCTGGCTCTCCACAACTCCCTGACTGGAAAGTGCAGCCAGGGGGAAGTCAGGCTCTGCGCCCAGGGAGCAAGGACTGGACAAGGGGACACAGCCTCAAGTTGTGCCATGTGAACCTCTCACGCTGGATGTTGGGAAAATCTCTTTGCTGAAAGCGTGCTCAGGCATTGGCACAGGCTGCCCAGGGCAGTGGTGGAGTCACATTCCTGGAAGTGTTCAAAAGATGTGTGGATGTGGCACCTCGGACAGGGGTTGGGTGGGCACTGGGATATTGGTGGAATGTTGGGCTTGATCTTGGAGGTCTTTTCCAACATTAATCATTCCATGATTTTATGAAGAATCTTTTTAGTTGCATAGGAGCAAGAAAGGGAGAAGTCTTTGAAATACTGGTGGGTCCATTGCTATTTATAAGTGTCTCTAGTTTTATTTAGCATATTGGAGAGTGGGTTTTCCCACTCTCCCAGTGGGAGAGTGTCACTGGAATGACAGTGTTTTGGCCAGTGTTTTCACTTGGGTGGCTCCATCTCTTTCCCCTGCATCACACAGACTGATTTTTTTGTGTACTAGTGGCTTCACATTTCTAGTACCTTCTTCTGAGAAAAATGATCAAGAAAGATTTGTTTTCACATTAAACATTTCATTACACAGAGGAGGAAATATTTTGATAGTAAATACAATATTTGAGATAAATGCCTTTGGCTCACTGTCCTAGATGATTGCTAATGTATAATATTGATTATTGTAGAAATTTAGCTTAGATACAGCAATGTTTGTTTGTGAACATGATAGTATTTTCCTTTTATTAATTTTTTCCAATGGCAATAGCTGGAAGCCCAGGGTTATTTATAAACTTTGCTAAATCAGCACAGCCCTGGGAAAGTCATATTTTGCTTTTCTGGTTGGGATAGTGCAAATATTTTTAATGCCAAAAAACCCTGCTTTTAAGCTGCTCTTTTAATTATTTGGAAAACAGGAAGAAAAACTGTAGATGGGATAAATTCACTACGTTTTATACAGGAACATAAGCTGATTATAGAAGAACATTAGCTGCTGTGCAAGGTTTTCTCCTTCTCTGTTTGCAGGAATGACTGGGGATGGGGTTTTTGGCTCTGGCTCCCTGGGGGCCCCTGGGGCTGGAGCATCTCTTGCCCAGAGCAGCTGTGGCTGCCCCTGGATCCCTGGCAGTGCCCAAGGCCAGGCTGGGCATTGGGGTTTGGAGCAGCCTGGGACAGTGGAAGGTGCCCCTGCAGGGGTGGAATGGGATGAGGAGGATTCAAATCCCTCCCAACCCAAACCATTCCATGATGGTTCCATGATAATGATGATATTTATCCCTTTTTTGGGTGGTAGAGGAGTTCTGGGATGCCTCCTCTACGGGGGCTGTCACGGATGCTAAGCTGAGCTCTGGGCAGGATCAAGGGTAAAAGTGCTGCCAAGTGCCCGTTGGCCCCAGAAATGCAGCAGCTCAGGTGCTGTGGTGGCAGGAGGACACAGGTGTGGCCATGGGTGCTCTGGTGGTCAGGGAGCTGGGGATTCCCACCCAGATGAGTTGGAATGGGTGGGGTACAGCTAACAAGGGTTGAAGACTCTGAAGCATTGAAACCAGGGAAACAACAAACCTGAGCTGCAGGCTTTGGGTACCTCTGTTCTCAGCACCTGATAGAGAAATGTTTGTGTGCAGAAAAGTAAAACCAAAGGAACAAATTCTGAAGAAATCCTTCCCTGGGAAGGTAGGGAGGCCCTGGCACAGGCTGCCCAGAGCAGCTGTGGCTGCCCTGGATCCCTGGCAGTGTCCAAGGCCAGGTTGGACAGGGCTTGGAGCAGCCTGGGACAGTGGAAAGTGTCCCTGGCCCTGGAACAAAATGAGCTTTTAAGGTCCCTTCCTGCCCAAACCATTCTGTGAACATAAATGTACAAACAGTTATAATAAATAATTCAGTTTGTATTATCTTTTATATACCCCACACAACACTTAAAAAACACTTTAAAAATATCTGAAGTCCTTTAAAGAAGGTTATTTTTTTCAATTCTTTCCTCCCAAGATATAATGCAGATGCCTGTGGGGGAAAATATGACTGTAAAAATTTAAATTAATGTAAAATAGAAAAGTAACTGTGAAGAATGACCTAAAATAGCTTTTCAGTGTGGAAAAATACCACTCCTATGTTACAGGAATAGAAGACAGGGCTGGAAATATCTCAGTTTCAGGATATGAGAATGCAGAAGTTTGAGAGAAAATTTCATGTTTTGGGGAAAGGAGAGAAATTTCTCGCCTGGGTTCCTTTCAGGCTTCCATTAGAAGCCCCAGGCAGATTTCAGATTCAGAGCGAGTCCAGGGGAAAATGAATTGGGATGGAAAAAACACATGATGGGAGTGCCTTGACAAATTCATTCATGAAAGGTCTCAGCGGTTTGTTACACAAGGAACAGCACCATGTGTTTGAGGCCTGGGTTTGCATTAAACAGGCATTTTGAAGAGCAATGTGAGATCACAGAATCTTGAAGGTTCAAAAAGGCTTCCAAGATCTTCAAGTCCAACCTTCAAGTGCATCCTCAGTACCCAGGGGCTGCTTTTTCCCATCAGTGTTTTATTTGCTTGCACATCTTCTGTGGGATTCCACGTGGATTATGGATCATCATTTCTAGAGATGTGTTTTTCCAGAGCATGACTGGTGTGGGAAGAGTTCTGGGGTCCATAACCACCACGTGGTGACTGAGCTACCCCCATGTTGGCCCTGTACATCATGCATGGGGTGGGAGGAGAAATCACTTGAGATATGGATAACCCACAGATGAACCCCCAATTTTTAGTTAGAGAAAGAGAAAAAATAATTCAATTATCCTTTCTGTGCCTTTCAGAACCTTGGTTGCACATTCCAGAGCTCTTTTTTTTCCCCCCACAACTACAAAAATGGGAATGGAAAATCATGTGGCTTCCACTATGAGTCCCAATAATAAAATTAAATCTGAGGAACAAATTTTCCTGTAGGACAGAGGTAGAAGGTGAGGAAGAGGCAAAGTGGGATGAAGTTTGCCTGAGAACTTGGAGATGCACAAAATGCACAGTAAGGATTTAGTAGAACCTTTTTTACTAGTATTAAAACCAAACCCACTTAAATTTATCATAAGTCATCTGTATTTATTTCTTTATTGTGACATGTTATACTGAATGAGTTGTTGGCTTGAGTTTTTTAATAAATAAATCCAGCAGGAAAATTTTGAAAGTAAGCCACAGCTGGAAATAAATAAACTAACCTTGCAATAATTTTCCCTCATCAAAAATGGAGAATGCTCTATTGCAGTGCTGCTTTTGGACATAAAAGTTTGGGTTGTTGTAAACTGCTTCTTGCCCAGTGTTTCCAGATCCTCTACACTGCAAGAAGTGAGGGTGATTACTTGTATAGCATCTGAAAAATCCCAAACCTGTAGAGCTGAGAAGGGACATAAGCATGAAATTCTGTTTCTGTTGTAAATTATTTCAAAGAAATATATTCAAGAGAGTTTTTTGGGTTGGAGTTATTTTGAAAGATGTAGACCTCTAACAGGAAGGGAACCGCACAAAAAGTGAGTGTGAATCCCACCAACCACCCCTGTCCTGTGCCCAGGGGAATGGGCCTGAATCTATGGAAAATGAGATTAATGAGCAGAATTAGATAAGAAGAATAACAGTGTTCATGGACACCCTGGTTTTGCACAAATAACTGTTTTTGGCAGGTTATGGTGGAGGTTTGTAACTGATTTAATACCATGTTGTGATTGGAAATGCTGAAGCTTGGACCAAAACTGCTCAGGGAAAAACTCTCATGAGCTGAGGAGCAACACTTGAGGCACTGAGCAACCTGCTCCAGTGGAAGGTGCCCCTGCCCATGGAATGGGATGAGTTAAAGGTCCCTTCCAACCCAAACCATTCTGTGCTTCTGTGAATGACTTCTGGATGAGAACTGATTAGGAGTGAGTGTTAACAAGGTGTGTTTGTGTGGGGGAAAGTCACCTGGTCAGGTGCAGCCTGGAGCAGGGTCCCTGTGGCAGGGCTGGATCCGGCACTCGTTGAAGGCACTCGTGAGTTGCTGTCCTCATGTGCCTTTTGGAGCAGGTGCCACATCCTGTCAGGGTGCTCAGCTCACACCAGTGGGGGGCAAAGAAGGCGAAGGGGAAGTGAAGTGCTGAAGAGCCCCCTTGTCCCAGATTTTCAAGGACTAAGGGTTGACTCTGTCATTCGCTCTTGGGGTGTTTGCTTTGGTTGTTTTCTGTCCTGGGGTGCCCACTGGTCCCCCCGAGAGTTTCACATCCAGCAGAGGTTCTGTGATTCACCTTCGTGTCCTTTGAAGGGATCTTCCTGCAGTGAAGAGAATCCTGTAGAAAAGGGATTAGGGAGGATTAGCTGCTCCAGCCACCCTGTACTCAAAGGATCTGGGTCAGGAGGCCGACAGTCCCTGCTGCACAGGCTGTGGAATGTGCAGGAGGGAAGCTCAGTTCCTCATCCTGTTCCAGCCTAGAATCATGGAATGGTTTGGGTTGGAAGGGTCCTTAAAGCCCATCCAGTGCCACCCCTGCCATGAGCAGGGACTCCTCCCACAATCCCAGGCCTTGGACACTTCCAGGGATGGGGTGGCCACAGCTTCTGAAGTACATGAAACCAGGGATTTAGGTGTGGTAAAGAGTAATCCCAAACTTGCAGAAAATGCTAAACCCAAAACATGTAAAAGATCTCAGAACGAAAAGCAAGAATTCTAGACTGAGTTTTTATTTTGTATTTCATTACTTGCTTCCTTTAAAATACAGGATTAAAGCTTCTGGAAAACTAAAATTAGCTCTTGCTACTCAGGGAAAATAGAAAGCAGTGCCCTAGCAAATTAATATGTAATTTTGTACATCCATTTTTAGGAGAACGACTTAACCTATAGATTTAAGGAGGTTATTTGCTTCCATAGTCATCTCAGACCATTTAAGAAGCAGCAAACCACACCCAGGGCTCTATGGGGGCAGATACCCCAGGAGTGATGAGCTTAGACAGAATCTCTACCTTTTACTTTTGTTAAAAATTACTGAAGAAAAAGCACAAATTCAGCAAATTTGTCTTCCTTTACTATCTGTTTACATTAAAATCAATATTATATAATTCAGTTTATTTATAAATAATTTGTTGTAGGAAGAGGAAGGTGTGGAAACACCAACATTGCTGTAGCTGCTGAGAAAGGCTCTCTGTGCTTTTCCTTCAGCTGGAACAAACACCAGTCCTTGCTTTGGGTACACTGAACTAGACTTGCTAAACTTGGAGGTCCTGGAAAATCAGTGGTAGGCTGCTATGGGATACTCTCCAAGTGTGCTGTTGCCAAACTGTCAAGTTAGTACAATTTTATAATTGTTCTGCTGCCTTCGTTAGGCTTTCAAGCCAATTTTAGTAGGTCCAGACCTGTGTCTGTCATGTGCCTGCTGCACTGCACGAGGATATCTCATGGACTCACTCAGCTGCAGTTTTTCTCTCAGTTCAGCTTCCAGATTTCAGATCCATTCACGAGAGTATTTCTTGATGTCTTTCAGGAACTTCCAGCTTAGGTTATTTTCCCCAAGGCAGTGCTGGGGTCACGATCCCTGGAAGTGTTCAGGAGTGGGGATGTGGCACCTGGGACCTGGCAGTGCATGGTTAATGGTTGAACTAGATGATGCTGGAGGGCTTTCCAACCTTTGTGATTCTGGGATTCTAGTCCACGAGTCTATTTGCATGTTGCAATTTCTGAGGAGGAGGAGGACTGCTGGATGCTCACAGTGACCTGGGGTATTGGTAGTGCCCCTTGTCCCCATTGTCAAAGCCCTTTGTGGACTTGGCTGCTGTTGGATCGGAGGATTTTGGATGGCTCCAACCTTAGCTGGAGCAGTGTTTGCACTGCTGAGAATAGGGAGGTGAAAACTGGCAGTGTTAAAGTCCCACAGCTGTCACAAAATTACCTCTGTTTTCCCCCAAGAAGTGCCATTCAAGGGGAATTGTGAGGAGCATGGGCACAGCCCGTTGCAGGGGCTGTTGACAGGAGTGAGTTCCTTGGTTTTTGGGGTTGCCTTTGCTTCCTCCCCCTCCTGACTGCATTATTTGATACCCATCACAATCCGTAGTCACTTCTAAGCACCGAGTGCTGCATGACTGACATGACAACTCTCTCAGGGTTGACACAAGAGTCATGGGACAGACTTTCATTTTCTCGGGGATGGGCTGTGGAAAGTTTTATGGAGCTCTCTGTGAGGCTGGCTCTGATTCAGCCGAGGCTGCGTGCGCACACCTGCCAAGAGAGATCAGCCCAAAAAAGAGATGATTCATCCCTGGCAAAGGGAAGGATCCAGTTGGGGACACGGGATGAGGTTCTGTGACTGACCCACCCTTTCCTCTGATGAGCACTCAGGGGCTGTAAATCTTCCCACAGTGAAGGCTCCTGGCCCATTCCCAAGCCCTGGAGCCATTGCACGTTGTGATTTCCTGGGATTTCGGGGCTGGCGCAGCTGCTGTGGTTTAGGAACTGTAATGACAGGCGTGGACACTCTGGGTGCAATAAAGTGACTTGGAAAAAGCACTTAAGTGGTGAACTCCGTGACTTCTGCTCTCTTGGAGCTTGGAGCTAATACTCCATTAAAGGAGCCAGGAATTTCCTTCTGTCTTCTTTTTACCCCACTGGGGACATTTATGGACACATTGGCCTGTGCAGTGCCAGTGACCTGTGTGGGCTTCAGGTGCCTTTACCTCAGACTGGGGCATGTTAGATGGGATACTGGGATAAATCCTCCCCTGTGAGGTGGGCAGGGTGGCACAGGCTGCCCAGAGCAGCTGTGGCTGCCCCTGGATCCCTGGCAGTGTCCAGGGCCAGGTTGGACGGGGCTTGGAACAGCCTGGGATAGTGGAAGGTGTCCCTGCTTATGGCAAGGGTGGAACTGGGTGGATTTAAGGTCCCTTCCAACCCAAATCGTTCCATTATTAAGTGGTGCTTTTCAGCAAACAAATAAATGAGAAAAGGTCAGTCAGAAGCAAATGCTGGATTTCAGTAGCCCGCATTTTAACCCAATCTGCCAAAATTCAGTTGCGTTGAACAGCTGGAGGTGTCACCCAATAGTTGTGTGACTTTTTTTTTTCCTTTGATTCCCTTTTTTTTCAACTATAGCCACTCTCTAAAATATATTTAAACCAGTTCCATCGTGGAGATAGTAAAGTGGAGCAAATATTTGTGTGCCATGAAAATATTTTTCAAATATTTTGCTTAATGTGTTTTGTTGAGCTTTTTTAATCAAAGTTGAGAAAGGAGATAAACATATGCAAGATTTGCTTTGCTGTTTCATTCTTTGGTTGTGGCAAGCCCTGCGGATACCATGCCTTCTCTGCAGTCCTTTATTTTTCCTTTTTTGAGGGGAATATGCAAATTTCCCCCATAGTTTATTGCTGGTAATGTGTATCCCCTTGCAAAATCCCAATATTTTTTGATATAGCTTCTCATGGAGGGATCAGAAGATCCCAGGCCTGAAGGCAAAGGGATCCCACACATTTCCACCAGTGACTGCAGGTGGTGCTCTGATTTTTTGATCCTTCCACATTGTGAATCACATAAATAGTTAGATAACTTGTGCGGTGTTTCACTTAGAGAAATATGCATTATTTTGTCTCTCTAGATATGTACAATGGAGTCTCTGCAGACTGCTTACTAATGTAATGTTTTACTAACAGTTTATCTCCACACAGGTAACACAAGTAGCAAGACAACCGGGTCCTCCTGCCCCATCCCCTTACACTGCACATGAAATAAATAAGGGACACCCAAATCTTGCTGCAACGCCACCGGGACATGCATCGTCCCCTGGGCTCTCACAGGTAAGACCTGGCGTTGGAGCAGAGCATTCCCAGCCTCCCCCTTTCCCTCCTATCCCATTCTCAGCTTCTCTGCTCAGCAAGGAACTGAGTTGTGTTGTCTGTGTCCAGTGTAGAAATAAAGTGAATAAAGGGTGTGGCTTGAACCTTGCAGTGACCTATCAGCAGCACTTAGCTTAGCACACCAATACCATAAATTGGTATTTATAAACTAAGTACGAGTTTATTAGGCATTAGTTCCTCCTAGAGTCTGTAATAGAAACTAAAACCAACTTGAAAAATTAGAGAAAATAATCATGGATGAGGAGGAATATGTTTTGCTGTTGGATCGGGCAGTTTGGGGCACAGCCTGACTTCCAGGTTTAACACCCTAAAAGTGCCCTGTGTCCTGTCTCAGGGATTTTCTGAGGGGAGATCAAGATGGTGCAGTTTTGTACAAGATGGTGCAGTTCTGTAAGTCTAAGAAATGTGTCAGGAAAACGAGTTGCACAAATGATTTCTCATAAAAGAGATGAGACAAAGGGCTGGTTACAGAAAAGTCCAGAACCGGAGATAAATGGGAGTTATAATAAGGATGAAGAAATAGAGTTTAGTGAGATATGTGGAATAAATTGGTCTCTTTGTAGCCTCTATTAGATAAATATTCTGCAGGGCTGACTTGAGTGGAGAAGCTTATCTGAAAAAGGAGGGGGCAAAAGAGGCAGGTAATAGGGCAGGAAAAAAAGGGAGATAAAAGGTACTGGGATGGGGAAAATGGGATGTGTGAGGAATGAGGTGTGAACTAGAGGAAAGCCTGATGTTCCCTCTGCTCCTGATAGATTTACACTTGTGTGGATCAAACAGGAAGGCCAGGGCAGGTCAGCTATTAAGGAGAGTGGTTTTGTTCTGAGGAAGGGGAGCAGGGTGGGAGGCTGAAGGTGGGTTGGGAACGGGGAAGTGATGGGGAGAGCCTCAGGTGGATCCCAGCCCCCCCCACCAGCCTCTGAAACATTAATCTGCAGCTGACCTTCAGGAGATGCTTGGAAACAGGTCATGGAAGGAACACTTCACCTGAATGATGCACATTCTGGATAGAGCATGATGGGGAAAGTGAAACTCGTGGTTGTGTTTGGCAATGTGCAGATGCTCATCCTCCATGGGTGGGACATTAGAGGCTGCAGTGGCTGTGGCAGGCATCGGTGGTGTTGGAGCTGTTCCTGCACTCGGGCTGCAAGGTTCTTGGGCTGAGGCTCACGGAACAGGGAGGGCACAGCAGGGTTGCAGAGCAAACCCTCAGATGCTGCCTGGCTTTTGTCTTGGATCAAGACATTCCTTCCTGGTAAACCTCATCAACACATGGAAGCTACTCATGTGGCAAAGGAGAGGGGAAGAAGAGAACATTCTGAGCAGCCTCTTTAAATCTATTGTAATCAAGGGATTTCTTTTCTTCCCTTAGTATTTTCCATTGAGTCAGTGCATCCACAGGGAGTGGGCTCTGTGCCAAATCTCCAGCCAGCTGGATAATGCTGCTTTCCTGTCCTGCTGGCTCTTGGAGGCGAGGGTCAGCCTGTGTCCCTGCCATGCTGCTGGAGCGACCTCACAGCCCTGGTGACAGCTGAGGGCCCTGGGGGCTCCCAGGGTGGCCGTGCTGCTCCCCCTGTTAGGAGCCAGCCCTCGTGTGCTGAGGGACAGGGAGGAGCAGCAAGGCTTTGGGGCCAGAGGGGCCTGGGCACTGCAGGGTTTTCCCCAGGTGATCCCTGCCAAGGTGGGACTCAGCAGTGAAATAGCACAAGTGCAGCTCCTGCTCATTCCCAGCCGGTGTCGGGGCTCCCCTCAGGAACCCTCCCCTTTGGGTGAAGCTTGGGTGCTGATGCCAGGTTGGACAGGGCTTGGAGCAGCCTGGTCTGGTGGAAGCTGTCCCTGCCCATGGCTGGGCAAGTTGGAGCAAGGTAATCCAACCCAAATCATTCCAGGGTTCTGTGAAGAGCCAAAATGCAGGTGCCTGCACTTGGGACACCAGTAAGGGGGATTAAAGCCTTACAGAATAACATGTCCCCAGGGACAGTTTTCTGTACCCCTGAACTATTAGAGAGCTGGGTAAATGTAAATTCTGAATATTTTTCTGTGTATCTCACTTGGACCCCTGTCAGGAGTTGAGTGGCTGTGTTATGGTAAGAAATTCCCAAGCTAAATGGAGATTTGGATGAAAGTTTAACCTGTTCATTGCATCTGTGATTTGTCTCCCCTGGGCTTCAAGAAACAGTGCTTGTGTTAAGAAGGAGGTGAGTGGAAGTTTTCTCTTTCCACACCTCTTGTAGTTTGTGAATTTCCATCATGTTTTCATTCATTTGCTTTCTTTTAGAAAATGGTGAGAGAGTAATTTTTGAGTAATTTTGTCTGATTCTTGGGCACCTTAAATCTTAAATTCTACCGTTTCCCTTTAGAGAAGAAGGGACCCAAGCTGACATGGGACTCAGATGAATGTGGTGTTATTAATTACTTTAACAGCAATAAACCACAAATAACTGTATTTTACCCACCCACACTGCATTGATGACTGAACACTGAACAAACGTTGTCTTTGCCTTTGTCCAGTCATGCCTAACGTAGTGAGGGGGTGTTTGTGCATAAAAGATAAGGACAAGACCACTTAGTTTGAATTACAGTCTGATTAAGAGTCATTGATTTCTTCATCAGACTCCCGAGTTAATAAATCCTCATCAAAGTGAGTCTTTCCAAGGTAGGGACTGCTCTTGAGGCAGTAGTGAGTGAAAATACTGGTGGGTGTTTTAGGCTTTGGATGTCATTTGGTACTAAATGGAGTTTGGGCAGAGAGAGAATGTATGTCACTGCTGGTGGGGAAGATTGCTCTGAGTGCTCCGCAGAGTCTCTCTTGGCTGTTACCCAGGTGGGATCTCAGCATCTCCTCAGGCTCTAGAGTTTCTTGAAGAGGGGATCTCGCAGAACCAGGGAATGTCCTGAGCTGGAAGGGACCCACAAGGATCAGAGTCCAACCCCTGGCCCTGCACACACACCCCAACAATCCCAGCCTGTCCAAAGGCTCCTGGAGCTCTGGCAGCCTCGGGGCTGGGACCATTTCCTGGGCAGTGCCAGCACCCTCTGGGGAAGAACCTTTCCTGATCTCCAACCCAAACCCCCCTGGCCCAGCTCCAGCCCTTCCCTGGGTGCTGTCCCTGCTCACAGGAGAGATCAGAGCTGCCCCTCGGGAGGAGCTGCAGCCCCAGTGAGGGCTCCCCTCTGCTCCAGGCTGAACACACCAAGTGCTCTCAGCTGCTCCTCGTGTGGCCCCTCCAGACCCCTCACCCTTGGCAGAAGCCATGCTCCAAAGGAGAAGGAGGGTTAACAAATGCTTTGGTTTTACCAGTGACCCCTCACTGTCCTGGCTGCTCCAGAGCTGCCTGTCCCAGCACATCTGGGGGCTGGGTGATGCAGTAATATCTTGAATTCTAGTAAGGGAATTGCTGTCCTTTCCTGGAGCTCCAGGAGCTGGAGCAGTTCATTGTAAGTTTGTGTGTAATAAGATGACAGCATTGTACTGAGTGGTCTGAAAGGGAGAGTTGGGGAACCAGGAATCAGGGAATGTATGGGGTATTTAACCTGAGAAGTCAGGTGCAAGTGAACGTTGTACCTTTGTTTGATTTCCTTTAGCTTTATCTAAACAGACAGAAGCAGTTGGTTCTGTGGTGCTGTGGTTGGGTGGTCCTTTCTCTTCCTCCTCCACCATTTCTATCTGGCATAGCCAAAACAAGAGCACAACTCCCTGCTCCACCTCCTCTGAGGCTTTCCCGACTTTGGTGCCCTTCAGGATTAGTTTGTGCAGCACAGTGAGGAGGCCTTGGCAGTGATGTGCAGCAGTCCCACACCCCCGTCTTTGCAGCAACAGGCAGCATCTCTGCTTCCCAAATTCCAGGGCCTTGAAGTCATAGTGCTGCTCTCGGGAATGTGCTGAGCTCTGGCACAGGGGAATGCACAGCACATGCTGCTGCAGTGATGTTATGGCCAGATGTGGCCCCAAATATATAAAATTTCATATTCCTGTTGGGTTTTACGTGTTTTTCCCTCATTCCGACAAGGGAAGGGGGGGCATGGCCCCTCTTCCTCCTCTCCTGGCTTGAGGCTGCAGAAGGGGCTGGTTTGACAGAATTCCCTTTCTCAGTGTGTGGAGGAAAGGAGAAGCCATTGGAAAAAGGGCAGAGCAGCTCCTCCTTGGATGTGGCTCCCAGAGCAGGTTATGCAGAGCTCAGGCAGGGCCTGGATTGACAGTGAGGCACCATCCCCTGATGGATGGAGAATCCAGAGCAGGCTGAGAGCATCCCCAGGGCCCCTAACAGGAGCAGCTGAAACGCTGTAAATCTGCCCCATTGCAGTGCCTTACACTGAGGGATGGGGCAGCCGTGGTAGGATGGGATAATGGGAAAGCAGAGCACTTCTAGAGCAGCTGGGCTGGGAGCAGCAGGAAAGAGCTTTCCTCTGTCCATGGAGTGAACAGAGGAGGAGAGGACTCCTCCAGAGGCAGTGTGCAGAGCTTGGGGCACCAGGAGAAGGCAGTTTCATCTCCCTTGTGACCTGGGGGTGGTTTGGAGGATCCCAAGAATCAAGTGCAGTGGGTTCTGGCATGTGAGGATGAATGGTTTGGAAAAGACTCTTGGCTTTCTCTGCCTCAGCTTTAGAACTGCAGGCCCCAGTGGGATGCTGAGGGATTCTCTTAGTCCAGGCCCACAGTTTGGAAGCATCAAGCGACCATGCTTAGAAGAAATTGCCAGGAATTTCCTCTGTAATCAGGGATAGCTTCAGCTCTCATTAAGAACATGCTGTGCACTGAGCAGATTGGTGCTGCCTACCCACGGCTGCCTCTTGGGATGGGCTGGAATTCTGGAGCTCTAGGGAGCAGAGGATCCCACAGCACTCGTGGGGACCTTCCTCTGGAGCTGCTGTAGTTGTGGACATCCCTCACCTGCTCCTGAAAAGATCGAGATACACCTAAGTGAACAAAAGTTCAGGAA